GTTGACAAAAAGGAAACCAAGCTGCCTCCAAACTCAGATGATGAGTTAAACTTCCAAGAAAAATCTTTAAAAGGTGGTGGTCATCTCTGCTATAAGATACGTTATGAGAAAGAGGAGTCCAAGCTGGTCATCAAGGTGATTAAAGCCACTGATCTTCCCCTGGTTTTGCACAACCAGATATCAGCAGACAACTATGTTAGGATCCGCCTTTATCGAACTAGACGACCGTTTCTGAATCTGGGTCGAAATAAGCCAAACAAGTCATTTCCCCTGAATACATTAGACTTAGAACTCCAGACTAAGATCCAAAGAAAAACGCGCAGTCCTGTCTTCAATGAATCATTTGATATCTATGTCGACCAGAAACATTTAAAGGACTATACGATGAGGTTGCAGTTATGTGATTTTGATCAGCTGTCATGCCATACAGTTCAAGGTGACATTGTTGTCAGTCTTAGGGAGTTGAAAAAACTTGACAATGAGGATGAATTATTTGACCAACCATTCTGTGAACCTATACAGGTTAGTGAATATCTTTTTTTCTTTTTTTTTTTTAATTATCATATTTGCTGTCTATTGGATGCAGATTTTTTTCCAAGAAATGACTCTATCTATTACAGCAGTAATATGTATGAGTGAGATGTGACAACCATGATAAAAAATAGGGCCCACCAGGAATCAGTGCACGCATAAAGCTTAGCTCTGAAATTAGGATTCCTGGAAGTTAACAAACATGATATCCATAAAAAAGTCCCTGAAAAATGCACCCAGGAAAAAGAAATTAAGAAATTTATGGAATTGCACAATATTTTGATGCTTGTTTTGTAGAAATACCAGATTTTACAGAAATATTTGCTTTCACTGGTAGATTGCTGCTTGCTTTGTGTGTGTTTTTTTGTTGATATATAGGTATTGGAATTTACTTTTCTGCATGTATGATATGGGACTTCATTTACCAACAAGTAATTTCTGTCTTTTTTTTTTTTTTTTTTTTTTTGCTTATTACCATATGCATCAGTGTTCACTGATACCGGTAGATTTCTTTGAATTTTTTATGAATTTACCATATGTGCAGATGTTACTCCCTGAAAAACAACTAATACAGTTTTCAATAAATGCATGACAAAATGTACTAAAATTCTTTTTTCCAAAAATCTCCTGGTAAATTAAACTGTACCTCACTTCTATTAAAAGAAAAAAAGTACCAGTAGTATAATTTGTGCTAATACTATGTTTGTTCATGGTTGGTGAGAATGTCACATAAAGGTAAGCTAATAATTTTAATTTTTTTTTTTTTTTTTTGGTTGTGATGTGTCCATTTTTTTTTCCTTTGCTTTTGTAAATTTGGTTTAGTTGTTGTGGATGCCTGGGTGATGGAATGAATTGTGTCTCTGAATGAGAGTTTGAATTCCAGTCTGGTTCATTGCATTCACTTCCTCTTGCAAATACCCTTGGGAAAGTTATGAATCCATCTCCTTTCCTGAGTTATCTGTTAAATAGTAAGAATTGAATCTCGAAAAATCATTGTTCATCTCAAAAAAATTTGCTATGACAATATTTGCAAAAAAAAAAAAAAAATTGATGTGATTCTTAGAATCCAAAATATGTTTAGGCTTTAAATAACCTAAAAAGGGTTGATAAACTGTAAAAAACAAGTCAATTAATAGCTTACTTGTCAGTACAGCAGAATGTTGAGTGAGAATTTTCTTAAAAAGAAAAAAAGCAGTATTTTTCTTCTGTTTTTAAAAGTTTATCACTTTGTGTATAGATAATTTTATGAGAGAGTTTGTCACTTTGTGTACATTTTTCACACAATACATCTTTTCAATGAACAGGAAGGAGCCATTAGTGATTTGATATTCCTGGGTTCCTTGAGAATTTCGGGTCTCTCAATATTGTATTCTTTTCCACAAGCAATCCAATCAAGGCTGATTGGACACTAATTCTTCCCCCAGCAACAGGCTTTTACTAACTTTGCCTCCATTTTGATATTCGCAAATTTTGACTGTTAGGTGATTCCTTAGTTTTATACATTCTGGTCATGTTGCTCCTAGCCAATGGCATTTGATTTTTGCTCGGCTGCTATCTTTATATGAGTTTTCTAGGCTTTAGCCCAAATTTGGTGCCAATTCCATCACAAGGATAATAATGCACTGTCTGTGATAAGTTTGTTTCTTTTTTTTTCTAAGTTCAAGAAAGAGAATATGTCTACTTTATTTTTCTTGGTAAAGATTATCTGCATTTATATTGCATACAAAATATAATAATTTAAAAGAAAAAAAAATCCTAATGGCTACATTAAATGAAGCTATCTTTTACCTACCAGATAATGCCCGATTTGAATAGAACAACCATTCTGTCCACAAACAAACGGCTGGTTTGTATGAAATACTTATTTATATGCAAACCAGTGATTGCCTTAACCAAAACAATCATTTATCCATAAACCAACAGCTAGCAGAAACAAAACGATTATATCTCTACAAATTAATTTAATGAAACTTAAGTTTAATGGCTATGTATACAGCTGGGGGATGGGAGAAGGAAAACATTACCTATATTAAATAAAAACAAAAATACGGAGCTGGGAGGGGGTCCTGATGGTGTGCCCAATAAAATACACGCCAACACTGCCACTAATTCACATCTGTCCCTCAACCTGAGCAACAGACACAAATCAACGGCCGCATTGGCGACCACTTCACCAGCAAGCACCTCTAAGATAAGCCTATTCCCCCGACCAAATAAAATAATAAAAAAAATAACAGCTAGCCTAAATAAAATGATTATTTATTTACTAGTTAGTTTGACAAAACTTAAGTTTAATGGCTAAGTAAACAAAACAAATATCATGGTGTATACAGAGGATGGGAGAAGGAAAAGATTACCTGTCAAAAAAAAAAAAACAACAATTGAAGGAGGGGGCTCCATTGTTATTTTCCAATCCATGTGCTCCCTCTCTTTATCCATAACCACTTTGCTGTTTTCTTGGCAGTCTCTGATACATTTTGGATTACTTTACTTTTCTTATTCCTTCTCAGACCGAAACTTGTCAGAGTTTTGATTAAGGATCTTGAAACAAATCCTCTATACCTGACTTCAGTCTGTGTGCAACTTGTTTTCCAGTCTTTCTGAATTACCAACTTGACATTTTTACTAGGTATGGAGGGATCAACTTACTTGACAAAGTAGTGTGCTTAACACCAGAGTGACCACTACGCTGATGTATTTGCATTATTTTGCATGATCCCAACTCTCCTACGGTGGCACCACATGCTGAGAGGAGAAATTTGGTGTCCTTCTTTAATAAATTTAACCACCTATGTGGAACTTTGATTAGTTTGTCAGCCTTATTTTGGTTGGACTTTACACACCCTTGTCACCATCTTGTAGATCAAGCGCTTCAGTGGGGGTGTTGGTTTCATTGTCCCAACCTTTGGTTACTGCAGTGGCCTGTCACTTTAAGAATGCTGCGGCTGCCCTAAGCCAACCACATACTGGAAGGTGACCTACAAGTTTTCTGCAGAGAGAGAATGTATTACAACGCATGATAACAGTTGGAATATCTCGGGAACTTACTCCCTTAATTCCATTGAAGCATGCTGTGCTCCCCCAAGACTTGAAAACCAAGTAATTTTGCACCATTGTTGAATCTCACAGGGTCCTTACAGCTTAGTCCAAAGTCAGATTTATGCTTTCTGATGCATGCATCATGCAAACTGCACTTTTGTCGATGAAGATGTCATTTATGTATGCCAAAGTGGCATTTTGGATTCCTTCAACCAGTAACAATACCATCTTGATAATCCTCTTCATTATAAGAGGTGCCACATTGAGACCGAAGCCTAATCATGTAAGGCAGTACCTCTGCCCTTTCAGTAAGACTCTCTGGAAAGGCCACAACAACTAATATACATGGACCTGTAGGTATGTTCTCCGAAGGCCCAACATTGATACATTACACCTGCAGTGTCACTATTCCCTTAGCTTGTCTGTACAGACATCCATATTTGCTGTGAATGCGCCTACGTACTCGTTTAATTCTCTGTAATCCATTACAGGGTGTACATTTTCCTTGCTTTTTTAGATAACGGCCATCAGTGGAATTATTCTCTTGGGAGGTACAAGCTCCTCCTCAGGATATGGTATGAACCAGCCATTATCCAACCATGTTTTTAACTCCTGGTCATATTCCTTACATGCTAGCTCGGACACAGGATACATTGCTATCTTGTTTCGTAAGCACGTTGGTGCCTGATTTTTGATCCACTTCCATGATGCTGTCCATGCTTTCTTTTTTGATCGAACTCAACGCTAAAGTCTGGTTCCTCTATAGTGATAGCCACACACAGGGATGGTTTGTTGTCGAAAAACTCCACCGCACCCGAAGGCGTGATTCCTACTCCCCCTAGTTCTTTGATTACATTCATCCCGATCAGAAGTTTGAAATCAAGTGGCTTTTCTTGCATCACCAGTACATCAGTATTGACAGGACTTCCACCTTGTAACTGGAAATCAATGACTCTGACCCCACAACAGGCTCTAGTCTCCCCATCTATCATCGTTATTCCTACAGGTCCTTTTGTGCATGACTGGCATCTCTCTCTGCTGGCGATAGAGAGTGAACACCTAGTATCGACCAGTGCAGTGATGGTTCTGCCATCAACCTGGACCCCAATCACAGGTAGTGCCATGCTGGAGAAGATACTGGCATTGACATATCTCTTCTAACATTTTCTTGGACAGTTTCAAGACATATGGCCCATGGTATGGCAACGGTAACAGTGCATGTATTGTGTTGTCCTTGCTCTCATCTCCTATCATTTTGTTGGCTCTGACAATCTTTCGCTATGTGGTTAATAACTTTACATCGAAAACACTTTCTGACAGGAACGTCTGTACTTTGCATTTGCTAGGCCGCCAGTGTCACCATCTCCTTCTCTCTCATAATCGCTTGGGCTCAGGCAAGCAGCTGGTTAATAGACAGCATGTCCATCCTAGTTAACGCAAGAAGAGTCTGCATTACATTGCCTGGTAACCTGTGCACAAATGTGCAAGCCAGCATACGGTCACTCATCCTGCCAATCAAGAACATCAGTTTCTTTAATTCAGCCAGGTATACATCCACGGATTCGCTGTACCACAGGTTCTGCTCAATGAACCGTTGGTATGCTGTAAATGAATCTGTAGCAAATGCTGTAACTAAGACAGTCTCTATCTAATCAATATCAGATTTTGCTTTGTTAATCAGTTGTTGGTAAACTGCAAATGCTCTGCCTGTAAGTCTCAAAGGGATCATGTGCTCCAAAGACTTCACTCCACATAGCCTAAAAATGAATTCCAGTTTCTGTATCCATTCAACCACTGGAAGACTGGATGCTGATCCGTCAAACTCGGGAATTAGCTTTAAATCAAATTTGGTGTCTGCCATTGTTTGTCAGTCACTGAAATAGCTTGTGCTGGTCTGGTCTGGTATTCACACATCAGCACATCAGGAGCACCACTCTCAACTGGGAAAACAC